TTTATCTTGTGTATACAGTGACACAGGGACTTTGTCATTTTGATGGCACTGATATGTGCATTGACACAAACACTTACTTTAGAGAGACGAACAAAACCTCTGTTTGCATGGAGAAACGTTTAGCTGCGCACAAGGCAATTTTGCATCGTTAGGATAGAACTGGTGTTGTGGTCGACTGAAACTGCTATTTTTTGAAGCATATATACACCTGAAGTCAAAACTAATCACCCCCTTGTTAAACTTATTGCAAACAATGTTTAACAGAGCAAGGAATTTTTCATAGTATATCCAGCAATATTTTTTCTTCTGGAGAAAGTCTTATTTGTTTTATTTCGGCTAAAAGCAGTTTTACATTTTTTTTAAAACCATGTTAAGGTCAGTATTATTAGCCCTCTTAAGCAAAATTTGATTGCCTACAGAACAAACCACTGTTACACAATGACTTGCCTAATTAGCCTAACCTTAACCTAATTACCCTAGTTAAGCCTTTACATGTCACTTTAAGGTGAATACTAGTGTCTTAAAGAATATCTAGTCAAATATTATGTGCTGTCATCACACTGTTAACCCTTACTGTAGATTATGCAGTAAATAACTGTAAAATAGCCAGTGTTTAGCTGTAATGAAAGGGAACAGTATTTTACTGTAAAAGGAGCAGGATTTGTATGAAATTCTGTAATGCAAAGAATAAATTACAGTAATTTACTCTATGTACCATTACAGATATTTACTGTGATAATAAATGGTAAATTACTGTTCAACCATTACTGCCCCATCTACTCTAATGCTTTATGTTCCTATTTCATATTTATTTTATCTCTGTGTTTTCTTTGGTTCCTTTTATGTTTTTAACATTGAGTATCAGGAGTCAACCAATGCCACAGAGCTTATTAAAAGGTAAGTGTAAGATATGGACGAAATGCATTTAAAGGCAAAAATATTCACACAGAGCAAAGAAATTGTCACAATAATTTTTATAACTTTGTTTACTTTTTCTATAATAAATCTAATTTAATTGCCTAGTTTGACCTATAGTTAAGATTTTAAATTGCACTTTCAACTGAATATTAGTATTTTGCTAAATAACTAGTAAAAATGTGTTATTTAAAAAAATATATATATATCTTAAACAACACGCACATACATTTTTGCAGAGACTCAATGAATTTGTCTGGAAAACTGGCAAGTAAAAGTGCCATTAACAGTATAAAGGCTTTCCTAAATAAATGTATAAATCATAATATTTGTTGTGTTTTTATTATTACTACAGATTTGGAGCAACATGAGAATCAGATTATTTATTATTATTTTTTTTTCTATGGATAAAGTTTATATTATAGTATATTTTTATTGTTTTTATTAAACGATATGTGCATAACTGTGATAAATGTAGGCAGTTGCTTTGAAAATATGCTATGTACCAGGGGTGTCAAACTCCTGGAAGGCCACAGCCTAGTAGAATTTAGTTCCAGCCCTGCTTCAACACACTACCTTTAGATTTAGTTTGATCAGGTGTTTAATTAGTATAACTGCACTCTTACTCTGTAGATTGTGCAATAACTGTAAAAAAACAATGATTTAGGCATCACCACACACTCCCACAGGCTGTCCGTCTTATTCTAAACACAAAGGTGTTGGAAAGAGTTTTCAGAAAATGCTGGCCCTTTAAGAGAGCCAGGTGTTTGATTTGTTTACTGCTGAGTGTGCTCTATTCTCTGTCTATCAATTCAGATTTTGAGTCTGATATGTTTTAGGCTTTAAATAAGAATCTATAATGAGTAAGTAAAATGTGTTCAAATGTTTTTGAGGGTTTATAAAATAAGGCTGTGTTTTAAGTTATATTGTTGTTATCTTGAACTGTGTACTTGAAAGCTACATTGTTAGCTAGTTAGCCTCTCCTCATATAACTTCTTACATTACTTTTGTTTAAGTATATGTATTTATTGGATATTGCATACTGCCATAATGTACAGATGCTAACAGTTGTATGTATCTTTGTTGGCAACTAAGCCAAAATTAAATTCCATCATCTCAGTAAGGTAACATGTGCACAAAATCACAGGGAATCACAAAAACATGATACACATAGCCATCCACTCACAAAAGCTCAACTGTCTGGTCCCAGGTTGTGAGTTTGTTGCTAAGTATTTTTCAGAGCAGTGTTTCCACCTATGAATTTATATTTGAAACAATAAAAAAGTTTGTTGTCATGAGATAATTAAAACAATAAAAGATTGGATCCTTTGGTTTTTCGGTGTTGCCAACGTTATTTTTGTTTTCTATAATTATTTTAAACTTTTTGAGATTTGACAGAGCTGTTAATTATTTAAAACTTTAAAATAATTATTTTGTGTTTTTTGCTGTTCAGTTTTTTTTTTTTTTTTTTTTTTTTGCATGGTCAGCATTGAGGAGAGAGTAACACATTTCACTGCAGCACTTTGTGTGTGTGTGTGTGTGTTTACTGGATATGTGATTGTAATTGTGATAAATGTTAGCAGTTGCTTTAAAAGTATGCTATATACAAGGGGTGCTTAATCCTGTTCCTGGAGATCTACCTTCCTGCAGATTTCAGTTGC